AAATGAATCTTGTTTTGAGCCTGGGAAAAGGCCTAGAACCAGAATATCGACTGTTATGAACCAGTCTGGGTGTAATGATTCATATAATAAACGTGAAAGACAAAATTAATGCTCAAACTCAAAGTAAAGTAATAACTTGAATAGCTCAAGTAAACCTATTCAGTGTGAGAGATGTAAGAACTGGGGGGGGGGGGGGGGGGGCAAGAAGCAGTGACACTGAAAATATGCGAATCTTGAACAAAAAGCTAAAATATAGAGACATAATTTACTGTCACCCATCCAATGAAACGTGAACACTAAGGCCCCTGCCCTAAGTTCATTAACACGCTTACAAGTAGTTATGACGGATCCCGATTATACACAAGGCATGCACTAACGCGCACTTTACTTTGCAGAGAGCTGTAATAGTAATCAAAATTCTAAATATTAACATTTGCTTCCAATTTCTTTTCTTTTTTTGTCCTCTTGTGTTGCATCCAGCCCTCCCCCCATCCCCGAGTGTATCTTTTTTTTAAAAATCAATAATCTCCCCCCATTCCGGAGTCCTGTACTTCACAGCGCTCAGAACGCGCGCAGGTTCATTGACCGGTCACAATGACGAGCCCGACAAGACGCTTGTACAGTATAACTTTCTTCTTCCCCCCCCCCCCCCACAAGCGACAGCACAGTGACGAACATTATTTTCATGGCGACACCACGTTTGTAATGCAGAATCTGCATTTGACAAATGTTGCGTATTTACACTTTTTTTACAGACATATTTCTGAGATCTTGATTTTCCGGTCGAGCCTCGGTGTCACATACAATTCCGCTTGCCGCCATAGCCGCCTGTTCGCGTGAAACGTACTCTCAGACCGGGAAAAGCCGAATTAATATCACAATCGCGACCGGCAAAAATTAACTTAAAGACGTTATCGGATTTGGTTTTCAAATAATATTCAAGATCTTTTATGTATTTTCCCGCGTCTCGGCGATTTTTGTCAAATTCCCGGGTAATTCCCGAGGCCTGGCAGTCACTCTGCTTCCAGCAACTCTCTTTCTGATTGACCCGCTGTCGCGGTAGCAGAGTTTAGCGGAGGAAATGGCGGTAGCGGAAATCCGCTAAATAGCGGAATATTGAGACCCATGTGTTGTACAGTTGTAGATCTGTAAAGTGTACCAAAGCAATGTCAAGAAAGTCAATGAATTCCACGTGAAATGTCTCGTGGAATTTTTGGCATCAAAAAGGCAGGACAAAATACCAGACATCAGAGTTCTCAAAAGGGAAAATGAGCGTACTTTCAAAGCTCACAAGGACTTGTCCTTGGGGGGGGGGGGGGGGGTGGACATGTCATAAGAATGCCTGATTTTAGAATTCTGAGCTGTCCTCAGGTAAGCGATAAGTTTGCATTCTAAAAAAAGCACTATAAAGACACCCTCAAATGTCTTTATAAAAACCTTCAACATTGATGCCTTGACATGAGCGAACCCAGCTCCTAACAGTAACAGGAATGTTTCAGTTTGTCTCAAAAAATGCACAAATGTGGAGTACCTCGCCAAATGTAGGACTATCTCCTTCACAGAGAACAGTTGAAGACTTGTTTTCATAACATTTGACAAAGAATTTACTGCATCAGAGCTTTAAGTGAACACACTGCAATATGTTTTTTCGATTTTTCATTATAAATTGAAAAAAAATGATAAGTCACTCGTAAAAAAATCATCAATTTTAACGGTAAATGGTCCCGAATATAAATCAGTCTTTCCAATAGTGATAGTCTTTGAAACAAAAAAGGATTACTTTGATCTCAGTATAGATTCTATATTATGAAAAAAGGCCTTGGGTAAATCAAGTAGATGATACATTGAAATATATACATATAAATGCAAAAATACTGAAGGATCAGAAAAAAAGAACATTATTGTTACATTTGAATAAACAATCTACATCTCATTATCATTCATTGCCATATATGCATCACTACAGTGAGCCCCACTTATAACAGGAATTCACATATAGCAGGCTTATAGTAAATCCGCAACTCTGATCTCTCATTTTAAGGCCAAAACATAAAATATTTTCTTAAAGTTCTTTTATAAGAGGTATTCGGACAGACACGCTTGGCTATAACAGTGATCCAACCATTGAAAAAATCGTATAACAAATGAACGGAAAAAGTAGAAAAAAGCAAATGAAGCAAAACAACAGACAACGTTCATGGTCAGTTGCACCTGCATGACTCACAATCGGCCTAATTTGATTGTGTACACATTTTATAATGTGTCACACCATATGTGTACAGAGGAGGAGGGAGGGAAAACTCGATGCTTGGTGTTGATACAATTCCAGTCTATAGTATACTGTGACCTTGGTATAGCACATAAAGTAGGCACTTGGGGCTGGATCTACTCCCAAATATGGTCACTGGATGTATTTGATTACCAATAGTTGTAAAGCGCACAGAGCATGCTGCAGACTGCAGAGCATATATGTGAAATACAAATGCAAGCATTTATATTTTTATTACATGTATACATATATTATTTCTCGTGTATCTCTATTCCTGTCTAGTCAACGTCCATGAGACTAGTAAATGGAGAAGAAAAAAAATCATGGGAAAATAAAGTACCAATAACTGACAAATTGGCAGTGGGTAATCTATGTCCAAATAAAAGTGATCCCACTGGTTAATCATTAGTTACAGTGTAGCGTATGTAAACTCGATTCCCATCTATAACTGCATTCGGCTCCATGTATAACAATAACATAAACTTTTGTAATAGCCGGGGCCCACTGTATAAACTATATATACGATACTTCAGAGCACTTCAAAATGCAACTTGCAGGAATTTGCACAAAAGAACGAATGATGGTCCCTTACAACAATGACTCTTCCAAATCAGTTACGAGAACGTAGAAGCCGAGTCACAAAGCCAATCATATACAGTGGAGCTCGGATTCAATGAGCTTGGATTCAACGAAGGGAGATGGATTGCCCGTTTTTTCTTCTTCTTTAAAAACCAATAACAATAACCCGGATTAAAAGAACACTTAAATTAGCAAGCTCGGATTCAACGAGGTCGCTTCCATGGTGAACAGCCACTGCAGATGTGGCATTGCTCATTTTTCTCCCACAACGAATTTTATATATTCTCGAAAAACCATCCATTGCACCTGCATCGTGAACCATTATTCACTTAGCCGATTGCATGCGACCAATCGGCAGCCTTCTTTCATACCAGCACATGCGTTGTTGTCACGCACATGTGTCTACTCTAGCCTGTGTCGGGCTCGGATTAGCGGCCTACATACGTGTGACTGTGTATACGTGTCGGGGGGGGGGGGGGGGGGGGGCACCATCGGTCCGGGAGTGGAATGTCTCAGAGATACAAACGTGTCAGTCTCCTCCCCCTCCCCACACGGCAACTGATCATTGGTACAAGGATCAATGATAAGCTAGTCTTGATATAGATCTACGTAATGAATGTGTACTGGTCTATGGAATCAAAAGTTGCCGTATGCTAGGCTCTACACAGCAACACAATTTTTTGGCAAACAATCGAAATGACACAGGCGTGCATTCGAACGAATCAATCTTTTTTTGCATAACTCATAATTGCAGGCATTTCAGGCACCACTTGTTACTTCTCTATATATATTACTTGCTCAGTGCCTGTAATTATCTACACAAAACCTGTTTGCTATGTAACAACGACACTTGGATTCAACGAGATTTTAGGTCAGGCCCGGCGACATTGTTGAATCCGAGTTCCACTGTATATATAAACAGGGCTTCCCATCCACCAGCATATGTTTTAGTAATCAGCAAATAAAACCTGAGTAATCTGACTTTAAAATTCGTAATATGACCATGGATCATCTTCTTCCCTGGAGTGTCAAGGCAGGGGTTATAGTCAAGTAAGTATAAAAGTAACGCACGGTACACAAAGACCTAAGGCAAAAAGAGGTCTTTGCGGGATCATCACTGGTCGAGTTAAGGGAAAAAAGGACAGAAAGGGGGGCTGATTGTATTGTTTCAAACAATGATCTATTTCTTTAAAATATTTCACTCTGTCCTTAGCTGTCACTCATAGCACAAAAAGACAGACAAAAATTTACCAAAACTCTGTCAACCTGTTTACCTTACTCCTGGCTTCGGCACTTCTACAGTATAATGTTTTTCTTCGGGCAAAGTAGCACTGAGCAACTGCAAGGGCTCAATGCAAAGAGGAAGCTAAAGTTAAGCATCTGCACGTGACATAGTGACATAGACAGGGGCTTGGGGAAGAATATATTTTTTTAAAATCGGAATCAGGGTTACTACGTTCGTAATTTAGTAAAATTGAATAAAAATCAAGACGATTCCGCCAAATTCGTAATTATGGGCAGCCCTGTATAAAGTTAAAAGAAAGTAATTCACATTTTGATTTTTAGGTAACTTGTTCAGTGTAACATGAAAATGTATGTTTTTTGGGCCATAACATTTAACCCCTTGACTGCGCTTCGAGTAAACAGAAGCACATCAACACAATAACGGTCATTTAGTGCAAGGAAGAAGCAAGACAGAAACAACAAACGGAAATGAAAAAGTAGGACCCATCAGTGGCACCCTCCAAACAGCCGCACCCTTGACTGCATCTCATATGTCTTCATAATCCGCCACACAGTGTGCTGTGCCTATCTCATACGGCAGTTAAAACCCATGTTTGTTTCCCTATCTCCTCTTCTACACAAATAAAGAGAGTGAAAGCTTAGTGTTTTAGCAATTTAATCATATCTACAGACTATTTGAGAGGTACTGCAATCTCTATAACTGATAATTGATAAAACAAAACAAAGTGTACTGTCTTTCTTGACATTTTTTGGCAAAATGATTTCTGCACCAATAGTAACGTACTTGAAAAGTTTGGAGTCATCTGGCCCAGAAATAACGATTTTAGCCCTGAGGAACCCCTTTCTTGTTTTTAAGATGTCACCAGGTACACAAGGGATTCAGCATGTGACGTGAACACAGTTAACAGTGAAGAGATTAACATTCAAAACTTTATTTTACAAAAACAAGAAGTATTATATCACAAAGGAAGTCATCACAAATAAAACAATATCTGGTCGTCTTCTCAGGAAAAATAAGAAACATTCGAAAGATAAGCGTGATTAGAGGTATACATCTAAAATTTAGACATGCCTGTTCTGCCTCTTGCCATAACAGCAATAAGAATCATCAAAACATACTGTGCCTACTTGTAAAAATGGTTAAAGTGAAGTGTACACCAGTAAAATTTGGCAGAATCTGTGTATACATAATGGCCACCATAAAGGCTGGGTTTTTCATGAATTGATGCCAGTTGATTTACATTGTATTCAGAATTGCGGTAAGAAAGCTCATCATTCTTCCATAGATAAATCATTAATCTCACAGGTTGACTTGTGCTGCTAACTTGAAAAAAACTTGGGATAAAAAAATTTCAAGTATTAAAAGTTGGGGCTATTTATTTTATCCTAAATAAAAATAGCTATATCTACTCGACTAACGTAACATTCAAATGAAGATTGTAATAATTCACTTGAAGAAAAAGAGTGCCAGATAGAGGCCCTTTGCTTTTATTATTAAATACAGCAATGTAATAAGAATAAGTCGATAATCAAGAAGATATTCATTGTTGCATATCCATTTAAGAACTTCAGTTGGATATGAGTGCACTGGCTTGTCCAATTTCTCTTTCCAGATGTAAAGATGCAGACCTAACAGGACTGTAAGAGAAAACTCCACTTAAGGTACGCATAGAGTAGGAATGAGATCACAAACAGATAAATGAGTCACAGCGTAAGAAGAACTGGAATTGCAAGCACCATCATGAACAGCATATTGCATTAGCATACACATCATACATCATCAAAGCTTTTTTTATTTTGCTTTTTGCGTTTTGCAGCTTCAGCCATAGCGGTCTCAAACACTTTATCAACATTGGTGTCATTCAGCGATGATGTCTCTAGGTAAGTCACCATCTTATGCTTTTTCACAGCCTGAAGACCTTTTGACTCTTTGATGAATCCATCGGGCTTATAAGCTTCTTCTCTTAGGTCAAGTTTGTTGCCCACTAGGATCATGGGTACACGAGGGCAGAGCTTCTGCATCTCAGGTATCCATAAGTTGTGGATATTCTTCAAGCTTTCCTCGTTGTCTAGACTGTTGACGAACAAATAAAAACAAGAAATACATTCACCATTTTTCTTTAAACTATTCTCCTTAATAACCCTACCGACCTGAGTCCAGCATGTGTTAACTTTCTGCACTCCCAATACTGTGGGCTCTTGCGGTCTAGAGGTTAAGGTGTTTGCTTCTCATTCAATAGGTCCCGGGTTCGAATCCGGATACCAACGGAAAATTTTCTCTTTTTATACCCTTTCCTGCTCTCTAACAATGTTCTGTCATCTGTTTTCATCTCCACTTTCTGCCCTCACCCCCTCATCTTCTTTGCCCCCTCCTCTAGGCTCCTGATTCTTTCTACAACCTTTCTACTGCTACTCCTTGGCTCCCACACCCCTGATCTTATCGTAGGTAAGACCTAACACCTATCCTTCTCGGATAAGGGCGAAAAATCTGGGATGGATGCCTACCTCAAAGTTCCTATTTCAGGTAAATTTAGAGTAAATTTCACTTTTTTGGTCAAAAATCGGGTAGTACAAAGACGAAGAAGGGAGAAAAAAAAAAACAACCTTTCCCAGGAACACACAGTTACCATTTAGTGGATTTAGCAGGTCTTACTGTTTGAGATATTATGCAATTACATTTTTTAAACATGTGCACACGTGTATGCGTGTGTGTGTGTGTGTGTGTGGTTGGGGGGGGGGGGTTGGAAATAATAGGCTGGGACTCCCAAAAAGGCAGTGTGTACACCCAACCAGAGGGTAGATAATGCTATGTTTTTTTACAGCCCACCTCTTTTCAAAGCTAGTGTAGATACATTGGAAATGCTGCTAGCTCTATTATGGTTATATTGGGACTTTTGTACTTCAAAGTCAGTAAATACATAATATCACACCAATACAGACAATTTTACAAACATGTTATTAGAATCTACCAGTAGCCACTGTGCAGCACCCTGTTTTTTAGCAAGGGGTATCTGCTCAAGGATACACCACAGTGACGACCCACCTAAATGCTGAGTCACCAACTTATAATGCTTTACATTATTGTGAGCCTGATCCCACTAACCACTTGATAATTGGAACCCCATACCATATTAGATTTTTCATCTGTCTGTCTCACTATCCTGCTAGTACCATACCTTTTGTGAGTGAGATGGGACTAGTATTAGACAAAAACCAGAGCTCAGTAAGCGATCTGGGTGAGTGTGGGTAGGCAGTCGTTTGTGAGTTAGACAAGTGCTACGGAACAAGAGAGTGTGAAAGTATAAACTTCCCTCAACCTCTCCAGAGAAGAACAGCTCTCTTTCCATGTTATAGAAGCAAGACCAATAAAAGTCAGAATGAAATTATGTAGGTGTGGTGTTCTAAAGTCCCTGCATTGTTAAGACTAATAGAAAATGGATGTGAAGCTATCCCCAACCTCCAGGGGTGGGAGATCTACCCACAGACTCTCCAGCCAATCATCCCTATGATGGCAGATCCAACTAGGAGATAAAAAAAGTTAGTGTTCCCTTTTTGGAATCCACCAGACAAGTAGAGTGCCGGGACCTCATACCTTAGAGGGGTTGGTGACTGGCTGGGGTTGTTTGGAGTTAGAGGAGATCACTCTGTACCTTGGCAAGGAGTCTAGGCACTAGTGTCCATTGCATTAGTAAGGCTTTGTGTTGGTGCAAAAGACATGAGCTCTATCATTTTTTTTGGTACGTGTTTTATGGTGCTCACAACTGCATGCGGTCATACGAGCATGCGGGACACATTAAACATTGTCAGTTTGGTAGGAATTAATTTTGAATTTTGCACGCGTGGCGGCCGAAGCCTACTCATCGATTTTAAGACTACCAAGGGATTTTTTACGAGCGTAACTTGCACATACACCCCCCCCCCCCCCCCCCGGGGCAATGTTCCTGACTGTCTTTAGGCCATTCCCCAAAGGGGGGATATTAACAAGTTCTAAAGCACAGTCAAATAGAAGATGGGCTGATTTATCAATGTCATGCTCATACTGTGCCGAAACAACATAGGGGTAACGGCTGTTTTTTCTTTCCTCATCCTTACAATCGTCATTTTCCTCTACTTCTTTTGTATGTTTGTCACTCTCTTGTGAACTGCTATTTCCAGGGTGCCTTGATAGTCAAAGCAAATTTAGTGCTGTCCAGGCTAGAGAGGTGAGCAGAGTAAGCCTGATTCCCTGTTTGGACTTCCCTGTTGGCACTCATAAGACCAAATGCAGTTGCGAGCGCCATAAAACCTTACTAAAAACAAACAAAATATTGCATAAGGGACCTCTGAGATTATTTTGCCTTTAATCCGAAATGGCTAGATGTTAGATCTTACCTATCCTAAGATCAAGGTTGTGGCTGAATAACAGCAGTGAGAAGGAGCCAAGGAGTAACAGAAGGAAGGCAGCAGGAAGAGTCAGGAGCCCAGAGGAGGGGGGTAAAGTGTGTGTGGGGGGGCAGAAAGTGGAGACAAAAGCACACTACAGAACACAGTTAAAGAGCACGAAAGGAGAAGATTTTCTTAAGAGAATAAAATGTTCCCTCTATCAGGTTTCAAACCCTGGGCCTATTGAATGAGAAGCTAACACAATACCTCTAGACCACCAGAGCCCTCCGGAGTTCCAATTCCTCAATGGGGAAATATCTTATCAAGTAACTTAGTATGTTGAGATGTTTTTGTCATGTATCCCACTAAGTCCAGGGTGCCCAAACAGAGAGGGTCAAAACAGCCTCCTCCTTATTCATCAAAATAGTGTCTGTGAGGTTGTAAGACATTATAATTATACGAGTGTCTCAGGTATTGAGGGTAAAAGGTAAAGTGCTGGCAAGCTGTCAAAATAAGAGAGAGTCAGTATTAACCTAATGAACCCGTGACACTGATACATATATATATACATCGGTGTGCAAGTTATTTTAGTTTTAGTAGAGGTTTTACGGCACTCACAACTGCATACGGTCATATGAGCACCAGAAGATTAGAAGTGTTACAAGAGAGTAACAAACATAAAAAAAAGAAGAAGGGGAGATAAGGACGATAGATCTTTGATAGGAAAGAAGAAGCAAACCACACCAGAGCACCCATCAACCATCCACGTGCAAGTTATTTGCCCCAAAGCACCGATATATTGGTGTGTGATAGTCTACCAAGGAACAGTAGTCCGTACACAGATAAAAAGGGGAAAAACAACGTCAAAAGGACTTGTAGGTTCGTGGTATGGTAGGGTGCCCTAATTTCTTCAGCAAAACAGCAGGCCACGAATTCCATTGGTCGAAATTAGGGCACCCTACCCTAACTATTGCAATAGTCAAGGCAGCTCAAAGAAAAGGGAATTGGTTTGAATAATTTTCTTGTGCCTTCTGTGTGTAGCCATGTAGACATTATTTAGCCGGGAAGCCAGGGGAAGGGTCATTTTGGGCTCATGAGGCTCATTGGGTTAAGAACTTAAATTTTAACAAATTATTTCTGGAACTGATACTGCAGATTAAGAAACTGCAATTTTTTAAAATAAAAATTTTGGGCAAGCATAATTTAACAGATAACTCCAACTCCTCCCCACCTCCCTCCCCCCTAAACATAAACCCCTAATTAAACGAGGAGAAAACACACACCTTACACAAAAAAGAAAAACACTCAGTAGCAATATTCCCAGATTACCTGAAGCAGACAATTACAGCATCAGAATTGGGATAACTCGTTTTTCTCAGATGTCTAAAGGTCTCTTGTCCTCCTGTATCACAAATAATGGCCACAAACTGGAGAGTGGGAGAGAGGAGAAAGGGGGGTGTGGGGGTATGAGTTGAAAAGTTAAACAAAAGAACCATAATAAATCACCTGTCACACATAAATGCACTTGTCCTGACATGACTTCTTGGTCTTTTAAACAAAAAAAGCAACAGACGGATGAAATTTGTGTTTTCGAAAACAAAAAAAGGAGGTAACTGTTTTATTTCTTTCAGGGTAATGACCTCGGAACAGCCATAACTTCAACAGGGTTTACAATTACGTTCATAAAATGTTCTCCCCCTTCAACAATTAACCCATGGGAAGATCACTTAAAGAGTAACAGAATATGGCATCATTTTGGAGCAGTAAAAGCTAATTCCATGTTCGTTAAGTAATATATGTCTTTCTTGGACGGACAGCCATATTTAATGTTCTTTCTTGCTACAGGCATGATTTCCTGTATTTTTATTTCACTTCATTTACCTTCTATGACTTTAACAAGCCAAGCTCCTTTTCTCATTTTATCATAAGCATGGCATCAATGAAGCTGAAAACAAACATTACACTTCTTTCAAAAATCCTAAACTCGCCTTTCTTTAATACATAACAGATAGTATCAGAAAAGTTTATTTTAAAACACCAAGATGTGACGATAAAAATCTCTTTCAGCATATTTTTTAAAAATCTTAAACAAATACTTATGTATAATTCAGGTGTTCTACAAATGTAAAAAAAACCCAACCTTTTTGTTGCCAACAGTCATCTCCCTGGTATGTGTCTCCAAACTGGAAGGGATATAGGCCTGAGGTGTAAACTCATCAAACTCGCCATTGATGTACCGCCGAATGAGGCATGTTTTACCAACTCCTCCATCACCAACAACGACAATTTTCCTCCTATTATCCTCCTCTGCTGACAAAAAAAAAAAAAAAGAAAACCTAACAAAAACAAAAGTGAGGCATCATGGTGAAATCAAGCACTCCTCAAAATAATGAAATGAAAGAAACCAACATATTTCCGTTCTGGCAATTTTTGATGAATTTTTGTGTTTTCTGGCTCAACAGCTTTCGTGTTCATTTTAAAATATGAGGCAGCGTCGTGAAACCAAGCACTCGTCAAAATACAGAAATCGGAGAAACAGGCATTTTCCCGAAAGTTTGGAAATTTTTATCGAATTTCTATTTTTGGGATCAACATCTTTTACATCCATATATATATGAAAACACATTTCCACGTGAATTTTACTGAAAAACATTATTAAAAGCGCAAAATATATCATTTTTCTTTTTTCAAGGACTCTTTGGCTATTGGAGTTACCAAAATTTGGCGGCCATTTTCTCATTAATTTCTTAAACCAGGCGACTTCACTTCCTTCAGTCACAAATATCTTGAGTTCTATTCAAGATAGATGGATATTTATTTCATTGGAAGCAAGGCAAATAAATCAGCTTTCAGATGATATCAATAACCCCAAAAGCCCAAAAATTGACAAGCGCCTGATTCCACTGCGTCATGCCACATATTTCTGTACAAATTTTACTGAAAAACAAAGATTAAAGGCACAAAAAAGGTAAATTTTCAGTTTCCAAGGACTCTCAAGCCCTGGAAGTTACCAAAATCTTGTAGGCTATTTCCTTGCTAATTTTACCTCTGAAACCTGGCAACCCCCACCTCCTTCAGTATCTCAACTTCTATTCAACATAGATGGGCAATTTTTCATCGAAAGCAAAGCTTTAAAATGATATCAATAACTCCACATGCCCAAAAATTGATGAGTGCCTTATTTCATCGCATCGTGACATAAATATTTTCAAACAAGTCATATTCTCAAGCTTAACCCGGCCATACATTCCACAGAAAACACATGCAACCATTTCACAATAAACTACTCAAAAGTGTTTGTTATCAGTCAGTCATCAGTGAGACAAGTGGCCACACAAGTACTGATTTTGTGATTTTTTGGGGGAGCCTCAACTTGTGATGGATATTTTTGTGCAAAAATAAACACTTCAATGAAAATTATTCATCTTCATGACTTCTTCATTAATGTCAAAGTCGTCTTGAAGTTTGCAAGTACAATACTTGAATTCTAAGCACACTTTCATTTTTCAAAGAGTGTGTGTGTGTTTGTTTTGGTGGGGGGGATACACATTTGTATATATTATGCAAATTATATAATGCACACTACAAGGAAAGAAACAAACATCTTAATTAAGAGTAGAAGGAGAAATCGCCAAAAGGAAGCTATTAAAGATTTTTTTCGTAAGCGGAATTTGTTCTAATTTCATACAGAAACTGAGCATATTGAGGAAGGATGATCAACTGATCAACCAAATTTTTCAGCAAAACGGTTGCGATCTTAATTTGCATGAAAAGCTTTAATGGAAATGACATTCTCTTGCAACATCCTAGGTCATAAGTGTAGGAAAGCATTTTTTAATTGACCGTAAAATATTATCCCTCCCCCCCCCCAAAAAAAAACAACAACATAAAACAAACACCCCAACAAGTTTTAATCTGGGTTGAATGAACATTACTTTTCCAGATATGCCCAAATTTATCCCTCCCTTTCTCAAATAAAAAGAGTATTTTTTTTATTAACCATCTGCTAAGTTGATTTTACAAAGCTATTCATTACAATGTGCCCTGTAACAAATAAAAATGAAATATAAATATATGTCATTTTGTCCGCCTTGAGAATACAAAATCAATAAAAATAACAGTCACTTAAAATGATGATTGAGGATGCGGTAGGGGCGGTGGGGGTATTAAAATCCCAAATTTTGAAAATCAGATGGGAAGAACAATGAACTCTCAAGTAGTACTCCTGCAGAAACATTTACATACCTGCTTCAGCTTTTGATTTACCAGCGCAACAGCCCATCTTATGAGATGAGGTTCACCCTTCACCCAGTATGCACTGTTCTCACAGTGATGAACTTGTTACTCTCTCACCACTAGAAAAAGCACAATGACAATCCTGGTGATCAGATTTTCTTAATCGTCAGATCTGTTGGAAAACCTCAGGAGATACTCGCAGCGTAACTGAAACACAAACAAAATGTCTCTTAAACAATCAATAATTATAAGTACCGTGGAACTCGGATTGAACGAAGTCATCGGGCTTGACCTTCAGTTTAGTTGAATCCGAATGTTTGTTATGGCAAACATGAGTTTTTTGTGTAGACAATTAAAGGACAGGCAATGAGTAAATAATGTATAATGTAATCAATTTTCTCAATCAAAAGTGAAGTCAAACCACATTATACCGTCTACCTTGTGACAAGCATAAAGTTGGCGGTACAGCAGAGCTGGTGGTACAACGAGGTTTTCATGTTATCTGTTTAATACGTGTATCACTAACTGCCCAACGATCTGTCACTTAGACTTGAGCATAAATCCTCATGAAATAAAAGCCCCACTGACATTCACCAGCCTGTAAGTTATTTTGGGCAGTGCCAGATATTTTACCGGGGGGGAGGGGGGGTTGAAATGGCAAGGATTTCCTATAAAGTTTCTTTAGGCGGCATAAAAATTTAATTCCATTTTTAAAAATAAAATATTGACCCAGGTCCAAATATAACAGCCTTTTCATAATCAGTGCATCGCGCAGAGCCAAATTCTATTCTGAATTCCAAAGTTATGTTTATTTTAATTTACTCTTCTACATTACACATTGCATTGTGTTTGCTTGCGACACACTTCATTTCTGTTGGTCCACCCTTAAAATGATACGAAACCATTGTCAAAGAGGTGCTTGAAGGAAAGGTGTAGGGCAGGAGAGCCATTTGAAGGCAAAGAACAACATGGAAGGACAACATAAGAACATGGACTGGCCTGGATGTGGCAGAATGTGCAATGGCAGATAGCAACAGTGAAGGATGGAGGGTCATTACACGTCAACCTCTGAGTCAGAGATGACACCTCCAGGTATCCAGGTACCTATATTGCCTGAAATCTACAAGACAAGGGTGGGGAAGGAGAAAATTGGAGAAAAGCGTTTGATCTAGACTTAGGCCTAGCTCATTGAGACTTGTGTGTTAAATATTATCAAGAAACCACCGAGTGAATGTGCTGTACGCTGAGTACAGCCTAGTGTATATTGTGCAGTCCTGGCAACCAGTTTGCTGGCGGTATAAGGGGGTAAATAAATTTACAGTATGTATGTATGTATAGTATAAGGTTTTACGGCGCTCGCAACTGCTAAGGTCATATGAGCGCGCGAAACACAAGTTGTTCA